GCACCACAAGCCCGCACTCAACAACAACGCGCCTGACAAACAGACGGTACATTCACAAAATAAACTAAGTCACGACAAGGTTAAAAAACTCTCAGATTCCTGATAAATTAACAATCTATTAAGTTTTATTAAAAAAATTATTTAAATTAATATTAACTTATTTTTCAGAGCCGACAATCACCCATAGTACAGACGTCCATAGAACAAAGAAATATAAAGGATAGAGAAAGAGATAGGGGAGATAGAGAAGATAGGAAAGAGAGGCAAGAACACACAGCGTCCAATCGAGACGGCATAGTTAATAATAAAGCCGTAAGTATTGTAATAGGTTCTGTAACCGTGATATTCAATATTTCATTATAATTAAAGAGAATGAGACATTCCTTTAAATCTCATAATCTGGAAAATTTACACATAAAGAAAAAACACGTTAAACGCCGTAGTAGAAATAGAAAAAAAATCACTAAAAACTTTTTACTGGAAATAGATGCATAATGTCGAATATTCAAAATATATCTGGTTGAGGGTTTAATCACAAGCTGGGTTCCGCAGATATTATAAAAAATCTTAAGGTCACAAGCCTTACGCGGCGCTTAAATGCAAGAAGGGATCCGGTCAACGGTGACCGGAGTAGCGTTTAACGTGTTGAATAGACTTCTTTAACTATTGGAAAACTACACTATCTCTGGACTATATTTATCTGTAGGTTTTTTTCAATTCCACGCAGACGAAGTGGCGGGCGACAGCTATAATGTAAATTTGTGGTATTTGCAGGCTTCCCCTCTGGACCACAGAGGAGTGAACAGCGAGGAGAACAAGGTGCGGCGGCACGCCTATCTGCAGCAGCTCATATACCCGTTGCTTAATGAGGTAACATACGAATTTAATTAAATATATTGTTAAAAGTATTCTATACGATAACCCTTTGAAGTCATTTATATCCTTCAAATTCCTATGCTATTGCTATGTTGGTTCTAAGTCCTATTTTTGAAACTACGATGCAAAAATAAATACATCTTTCATGTTTGGTTGGTGAAAATAATTTAATAAAAGCAAAAATGCAGGAATTTGAAGCATAATACCCCTCAGGGGGTCACAATTCATGGTTTTAAATGCGTTGATGTAAATAATATTATTAAAAAGTGTTTCTGCCTTTCGTGATTGTTGATGTGGTTGTGTTGTGTTGTGTTGCAGCTGAGCCGCAAGCACGGGCCGAGCAGCGCGGCGGCCGTGGAGGAGGTGCGTCGAGCCTTCGAGCTGGCTGAGCGCAGCGCGCCTCATCTCACTAGAGCCTTCGTGCAACAGGTACATTCAATTTGTATATATTTGAATATTTGTATGTAATAAAAAAATATATTTCATGTTTCGTTTGATCCTTTATGATGTTTTTGCGTTGAACGAAACATATTTTTTTGTTTGTGTCTGTTGTCTATTCCGCTTTTTTCAGAGTAATTTTTGATATCTCTAGACTGATTTTGATAGGACTTACTGAACAGCGACTTTTGTATGCAAAGTCGCGGGCTACACCTAGTATAATAATTTCATGTTTAAATAGGGTAAAGACACCTAATAAGGAGGAATATGATTTATTTTATTTATGTTTATTTTATTGTCCAGGTGGTGCAGAGGGTGGCGACACAATCACACCAGCCCTCCACACCCTCACACAACACTTCGCAGCACTGGATGTCGTAGGTGAGTCCTACGTTATATTAAAATAAACCCAAATATTTAACTATTCCAGTCTAAAAATAAAGAAATTAAAATTAAATGAGTAATAATGATCTGAACATAAACTCTAATATATTTTTTCTTACCAGGGACACATAAAATAGCCGGCAGCAATCCATAGCCGCCCCCTGGCCTCGGCCCCGCGCTCCTAGCCCCGGCCCCCCGGCCTCAAGCCCCGGCCCCCCGGACTCAAGCCCCGGCCCCCTGGCCCCAGGCCCCGGCCCCGCGCCGCCGCTCGGACTGACAGATACTAATACAAATTAGGCTTAAAGAAAACCCTTAGCATAGCAACACCAACTATATGTAATGTCTTACATGGCTTTAAATTAGATGTAGACGAACGCCCAATTATATGTTTCCTTAATATCAAATCTAGTTCCAAATGTGTGAACTGAGGCCTTCAAACTGCCTTATGTTATATTGCGTTAAATAGACCAACAAACAGTTTATTAACCTCTATATATGTGTATATTTAAATCTTTGCACTGTCCAATGTCTGATCACATTTTTTTACCTCTAACGAAGTTAACAGTGAGATTCCACTGTTGAAATATATGAGTAGAATAATATCGACATCCTTTTCATTCTATTAATAAAGAAAAGAGATAAAAATATTTTTGGTCATATCTTGACGGTTGAAATATTATCAGAAATCATTTTGCGTTCGTTTCAAATTTATTAAATTCTTGTATCATATATTTTTATACATGAGTTGTAATTTATGTACAGTCGAACCGAGATAATCGAGTTTCCAAAAGATCACAATATTTTTTTTTCGTTTATAAAAGTTTCTAACCTGAATTTATGGAGTCAGTTCTTCGAGGGATTGGTAAATGACTTGCTTCTAAGGTTTCTCGATTATCCTGGTTTGACTATATGACAATATCATAATTACTCTCTCTTAGTTGATCAGAGATATTTTGTAGATGTATGAGAACAGTGGAAACCGCATAGTGTTGCGAGATGTGTTGTATGTTTGTGTATAAGTCTGAGCGCGGCGGAGTCACAACTTGCAATGCCATAGTGTAATGTAAACATAAAGTAAACAATACTTAAGTTGGTTATGTCTTTTAATATTTTATATTTATGTAAATATATCACTATTTGTTTTGTCTATTGAAAATAATGTCAACATTTGGTGCATGTATTATTCAATAAGTCTAGTTCAGATATTGAAAACATTTTCAATGTACTACGCGTGCACAATAACATGACATGTGCGATGACGTCATCTGTCTTGTCTACACAATTGTTATTATTGTAGATGTATAGTATGTTAAAATAAATTTAATATATGTTTTAACTTTGTTAACAAATTAAATATTAATCACAAGGGAAATTGAATAATACATGTACTAATGTTTTAGACCCTGACCATAGACTTAGTCTTTGGGTCACTTCTAACGTTTTTGTCCTGTTTAGTTTTATTGTGGACTTGTTCTGTTCATTGTTTGTACTGTGAGTTTCCATTGACGGTACAAAGAAGCTAGACAATGTATAAGCTTCGAAGTGATTCTATAACGAACTTCAAAATGTATAGAAATGAGAATAAGTTACAGTAAGTCACGTGATTGTTGCCTCAATTCTATACATTTTTGAATTTCGTTATGGAATCTCTTCGAATGCATTTTATCTAGCTCTGCAGGTGTGTAAAGACATAGTGTCGTCTCTTTCAGTCTCTTTGAAAAGATAGAGACAGAGATATATACAAAAGTTTTAACAATGGAAACTCATGTAACCTGCGGTCACGTGGGAATGTCATTTAGTATAATTTGTCAACGGTTTTGTAAAGGTGTTGTTCGATCTATTTTGTAATTTAAATATTTTTTTTGAAGAGTTGAATATTTTGTGAATATTTTGCCATAACTGTTTTTTTTTTCTTCTAAAATTATCTTTTTAAATGTCACAATAGAAGAATTGTTAGGTTGACCAGTAATAGTTAGAATCAATGTTTTTCAATAGTTTTTGGTCGTGTGTTTATTATTATTGAAATTCACTATAAAGGTTTTTCTATCGTTTCATCAATACTATTTTTTTTTTAACTTTTAGATATGCGTAGTATGAAACATTTTAGCGTTTCTTTAGTGTCATTCCAGGCAAAAGACAATGTTGTCGGCATTTATAGAATATTTGTTTTGTTGAATTTGAATTGTTTCGATACATTAACGGTTTGCGGAAGCGACTGAGAGTTGTTATATAAAAAAATCATAGTTTAGTTTTGAAAGTTAGCTTTTTTTTAAATGTCGGTTATTCGGTTTGGAATAAATGCGTGACTAATATCTAAAAATTTTAATATAATCACGCCCATTTTTAACACGTCGTTAACACGCGAAAGCACTGTCCTCGTGACTTTGGGCGTATGTTGAGATGTCCATATAAATAATTAACATGCTTAATATGCGACAATATTTAGCAATTTGGTATATATAGATTATTTATATTGAAGACTACAAAACAATTATTATTGCTGTGTAAAAATGTAAACGTATTATATAAATGTGTAAATTGTGTAGTATAAAGGAAGCTGTTTTGATAAAGTGTTCTTATAAGTGTGGGGAGACGCGGCGTCATCACGTCACCTGGTGGAAACTATCGTCACTGTGTTTCTTTTCATATGTTTGTGCATGTCAATTTCCAAATACTTATTGTTAGGTATAAAATCCGATACTGTGTCGATGTACTGGCACAACACTAGCTTTACTAAAATGTCGATGTTTATGTCCCCTCACTAATCATTCTAACACTTGACTTTGTAACGCGCGCCATTCGCGCCAAAGAATTTTAAGTAATTATGTCTAAAATTATTATCAGTTTTTCTAAAAAAATTAGTCAACTAGCAAAAAATTCTCTGTTTTTGTCTTTTTATTTTATTTTTCCGTCAATGTTTTTTTTTACATTTATTTAAGATTTTAATATCACGATAAAAATGGTATACCAGAGCAGATATGATGAGATAGTCTATCTATTCATCTTGATATAAAACTCCTTGGGTTTTGGGATTTCTAAGTATTCCCACTGTGAAAATTATAACATCCTTTGTAACTTATTTCTGATAGTACAGATGACTATGAGGTGACATTATACAGAGTGTTACATTTTTCAGAGGTGGAATACTTGGACATCTATTGCCCTTAGGAGTGATGTTTCAGGGTGAAAAGGACTAAGTCGACATAATGGCTTAGACAAAGTTTTGTTTATTTAGTTTCCACCGAATGTGAAGTGTGCTCGCCGCGACCGCCCCGAAAGCGCGCGCTCCGGGCACGGAAGCCATTTTGTTCATAACCTAGTTTGTAGTTCTCAGAATTTCTATTCTAATCCTAAGGTAGGCAAGTTCACTAAATGCCTTTGATGCATAGTTTGTAAGTTGTGCCCGTGCTCGTAGTCGGACCGAGGGAGAGGATAATTTAAAAATATATGTGAACTTTCCCCGGCCCGGCTCGGAGCGCGGTGTCACCGTGGTTTCCGCTCCCGGTTCGCATCGCATTTGCCTTGTAATCATTTAATTTCGCCGTGCGTTTCGCGCGCGAAATGTTACATTGATTTCTATGGTAAATCAAAAATTATTTTTCCACTTGATGGGTATTATATAATGGTAAGAGCGTGTAGTGTTAGAGGTGGCGATAATTGTTGATTATTGAATAAAATTTAGATGTTTGTGGCATTGGTACGTAGCGGAGACACGGAAACTAGTTGTTACCTTCGAATTTGCAGAATGTTCGGGATCGCGTCGTCGGTATTTGTTGGGCACTATTGATCCTGTTTGTATAGTTTGTAAATTTAAATCTTTATTGTAATATAGAAGTTGCAGCAGACTTTGCGATCCATCTCGACAGTTTGATATAAATAAGTATCGCGGGCAAAAGGAGCAAGCCGCGGGCCACATGGCGCGGTCAGCCGGCGCCGGATAGCGGTGGCATTACGGAATATCCTAAATTATTACAAATAATACAAAGTTTGCAAAGTTATAAAGAGACCTTAAAGTTTTCTTACAGAATTTCATTTCATATATTTTTTCTAGCTTTTTCCTGAGACTTCGTATGGGTGGAAAAAAAAACTCAACAAGTAGCCTATGTGTTATTTTAAACTATGTTTCATATCTATGCTAAAATTTATCCATTGAGTCGTTCTTCTAGCAAACATCCATACATCTAAAATTTCGCTTATATAATATTAGTAACAATTAATTATTATTTTATTTCTGCAGTATTAAGAAATTAATAATGAGTTTATTCTGACGATGTGAAATGAATTGGTGGCCATCTGTCGATGTTTAATTCCACGAATGCTTACCGCTGTCTGACGCAAGCTAACTCGATTGCAATATCACGTACATATGTAAAACAAATATTTTAAATATAAATACAAGGTGTCCGATTCTAACTGCTTCACAATCGATTTATAAGTATTTGAGGAGTCCCTTAGTGAAGATTTATTACACCACTAAAGGACTGCTGAAGTAAACAAGAGTCTGAGTGCGATATTTAATCTACCCTCAGTAAACCATTGGTGACTGGTCACAGCCGGCGACGCGTACCATTAGCGCGATGGTCAATTAATGCTACGGCGTCCATCATTCTAACACGTTTATGTAGAAAACAAATTTGACTCTGAAATAAAAGAAGTTATTTAATTTTGGACTTATTTGTTTTATTTAAACCTATTAAAAGATCCCGTTGATGATAATAAATAGGCTTTAATTTAACAGTAAGTATATTACCATGACTTTATTTTTTTAAACAGTATTTTTAGCACTTCAGTCCTAGAATATATTTTTTACCATAGACCATAGGTTATTTCGTTGACTACAATAACAAATTGTTCGATGTCTATGGAATATTTTTCAATCAGAAAAATAAAAAATGGAACGTTTTTTAGTATTTTTTTTATTTTATTGACTAGGTTATAATTACACGTTTTATTACAAATTTACAAAATATATAAAAATGACGTAAGAAATTTTTAAGAGATTCGTTGTTAGGTTTTAATTGTTATAATGTTACATACGAATAAATAATGTGATGTTAATATATGCGATAAAAAAGACAAAGAACTTTTAAATGTGTTCTCATAGTCCTTAATCACTAAGGGATAGAAAACGGCAGTTAGACATGTCATGATGTGTTATTACAGTATAATTTTAAAATAAAGCTACACGATAAACTTAATGAAAATTAAATATATTTACACATATGGCTATCAAGTACAACGCAATCATAGCCTAGAAAATATCTAATTTTACAGCTGTACAATAAACTACTTTTATACTTATCTAAATATATTAATGTTCCCGCAACGGGATGAGTGGTGAAAATTACACAGTTTGTCTGAAAAAATACAACAAATTCGCTTTAAAATAGCTATAATGTTAGGAAATTAAACATATTTTTACACTTCAACTAATATTGTGTAAAGGTAAGTAACCATTTTAAAATACTTTGGTTCAATTTAAGACCTAGAAAAGATGTGAAAATCAAATGAAACTTAATCGTCAATTGATGTAGGAACTTATTTTGTAAAAGTCTTGAGCAAAAAATAAGAAATTTTAATGTCTTAAATGAAAAATAATATCAAAAATAATTTCCAGTTTAACTTTAATATCGAAAAGTATTGGAATGGTAAAGTTGCATTTAACGAAAGCCGCGTGTTTATAATCTGTGGAATTCGACTTGTCAAATTGACATATTGTCATCCTTTACATATTCTTTGGAAAAAACAGAGACACCAATATCAAAAAACAAATGTTGTGGCAATCAAAAGCTTGAATGTCGCAGAGAGCGACTTAAAACCCGTTAGTCAGAGTTTCGTTGATACCCAGAGCCTCAATAACGCCTACGATATTTAGGGTTGCTACTTTTTTAGGTTTGCAGAGTCCATATTCGATTTTGATTCACAATAAATTTATGTCTCTGGTACAAAATGGTGTTAACTAGTCATTGTGATCGCAGTTTTTCATATGAAAGTGTTATAGGTTTTTTTATGTTGGCAGCCCTACATCCAAAATAACACGCAGTCGGTTATAAATCACTGCAACATCCTACTTTCTAAGTTAGCATCTTTTGTGAACTGAGTCATCAGAATTTGCATTCTTTCATTCATCTCTCATGCGATCGTCTTATCTTATAAATAATATCAAAAGCTGGCATTTGCATTACTTATTAAATATTCTTTAAATCTATTTCCTATATAACGCACAGATGACCTTGAATTTATACGACACTACATGAACTTATATAACAGTATTTTTTGTATATTAGTCGGCAGTGAAATACATGGTTAAACACAAAGCACATAATTGTTCTTTTCGTACCATAGATATTTACTTTTTACGTAATATTCGATGTAAAATTTGTTCAAAAATTAAAGAATTAAATATATTTAATTCTAAGAAGTTGTAAATCCACATTTATTTGAAAACATTTATTGTTAAAGAGATCAAAAATCATATAAAAACCAAATTAGTAGTTATTGCTTTTAAATCTTTCTTTAACAATTAGGAATTTGGACAAACTCTATTAACTATAATGGTGGTAATATTAAATCAATAAGTATGCGTCAACGCCTATTTAACTTACAGTTTAGTGCGTACACTATCGAGATTACTAATAGAAAACAAGTGGCATGGTGTGAATCATTCGACCTTATACATTACTTAATCATCTTAAATATCACAGAGGTATTACATAAACACTCTAATACCTAGCAGTGCCTATTATATGTAAAACATAGTCTACAATTTGCGACTCGCACTCGGATGTGCGCAATTTCTTCATCATGTGGTGTTGAACAGGCGGTGGAATGGGATACGTCAGCGAGTGAACTAAGTTCCGACTGTCGATGACAATCAGATGGTTCTTTTTCGTTTTCTCAACTTCGGTCCCATTATTTTTTCATTCTGCGAACAAATAAAAAGAACTTGATAAATGCGAGAGAAGCGTACAGCTGTCTGACTCATTGTGGATTTTTGTGACGCAGAAGCCTGAGTCACAACACACGGTCACAAATTTTATTTCGAATAGTTTTTACCGTTTGCACATATACTTAGTGAGGTGACGAATTCATTGCCTATATTAGATACAATAAAGGAGATGTTTATAGACAAGTAAATTCGATGAAACAACGCAAAGTTTCTTTGAATCGATGACATAAAGTCTGCACAAATTAGATAATTAAAATTCGATTAAAAATCAATTGATGTCTCGACATACATCACAACGGGATGTGTATTCTTAAAGGAGTTAAATTAAGTGTAATTGAATCGATCCCGCACATAAAATACCTATACCGTATCTTCATCTCGTGTCTCAGAACTTATACATTTCCTTAATATTAGTAACTTCGATAAACATTAACAAATTATAGCTAATCAAAAATTTAAAATAAAAGTGTAATAATTAATCACGCTACTACTCCTTTTATAACCTACTACTTTTTATAACCTTGAGAAACATTTTCAGGTCTGGACGCGAATGCTTATGCGGTTGACATCTATAGAGACATACTCATAGTCGTACGCTAACTATACACAAGCAATAATGGTAATTAGTCTAAGATTATGTAGAACACACAGAGACCTTACATTTTATGATTAGCGCCATTAAATGTTTACCAGAGATAGCAACAATCAACAAACTCATTCTAAGGACGCCTATCGTAAAATACGAACTCGTTTCGTTCCATTAAACAGCCAATATTTACTGCGCAATGTCATCATTATTATCTGGTGTTAATATTCATAAGCGGGTATGTATATTGGACATCCTTATTACTTTGTTGGCTATGCGTTCGTGTACACTGCATACGATCCATCAGCGGGACAAACGAGTCCTTTATATGTGGACAAGACATCCTGCGGAGTCGTGACCTCTTATCGCCGGCCGCCCGCCGCCCGGCCGCGGACAGTGCGCGCTCGCGTAACTGATACGCCTTCCTACAACCTAAACTTTATTACACAAATATACCAACCTGACTATTACAAATATATTAAATATTTCTATATAAAGAATCACGGAACTAAATTGTTATTGAGCTGAGAAATATTTTTATGTACACATGTAATTATATGATAATTTATCGTAACATTGCAGTTCGATTCGAGATAAATTGCACAATTGGAATAGTCGTATAGTAGTATAAGTCGTCAACATAAAACTTTTTTTTTCATTTCAATATAAAACCAATAGTTTTACAGAAGTCAGTAAATGTGAAAGTAAGTAACAGGAATGTCTTTACTTTTGTTATTTTTTTAGTCGAGAAGAAAAATGAAACAAATAAATAAACGTTGAGTGAGTGTTAGCTCACAACATTTTGTTAAACAATTAAAGGTGTGATTCCACTGTGCCCATTTGTGTATTCCTAAAATTTGTTCTATCGAATTATTTTGTTCCAAACTGTCAGTCACTTGAGTATTGGCACCGATGTCCACAAATGTTTGTTCAAATATATAAATGTTTGCACCAACAATTACTGTCCGGTATTGTAATACGATCTCTTATTATTTTTAACTCTACTCGCTTTGTATAATAACGATCGTTAAGTTAAATATATGGCAGGTTTGTGCCTCGGCATTTTATATGCTTAAGTTATGTATTAACGGCCCTGTTTTACATAGTCCGTATTTTTTTCCTTATTTATAGTCACAGCTGTATTGCATGTTAAAGTATATATATTACGATACATACATATTAATATAAATACATAATTGATCTCATTGTTTGTAATTAATTTTGTAATATTGTTTTTTATTGATATTTAACGTTAATTTCCTACAAATATCCATTCATTATTGTTTAAGGAAGGAAGGTTTTGTTTTAAATTATATTTGACAGGAATAAATATTTTTAATCTAATTTAATGGTATTTTTGTAGTTGATTTATATAATATTTTGATTTAATTCAATAACTAAAGGTGTACAATGATTTTCCTTATGTAAAAGTTTATATAACATCCTAGGAATAAACTCCTTAAATGAGCAAAATAATAACAGTACTTAAATATTCACAGTACATAAAGACATGTAAATAGCTAGTGCAAACTTCTTTGTTGGTTTTTACCTTTTGATTAATGAAGGAAATCTCACTGCAAGGATAACTTATGACTCAAAAGGGAATGAACGCACACATGCTCAGATTTCATGGCACGTTTATGACGAACGTTGGCCATTTCTTATTTCCTTATCTCATCTGTAAACTTATACCATAGCGACCTCTCCCGGCAGCAAAAAAACACCGTGTGAATGTGAAAAAAAAAATTAAAAACATTTATTTAGATTTTTTTTTAATTTTACCTTTAATACAATTCTCAAAATATTGTTGAAACTATTAGATTGTTTCAGTAATTTTTCCGTTTATTTTGATGGACGAAACTATGTTTTTTATTATTTAAAAAAAAAACATAAAATATAAAAAAAAATTATTTGTATTTTACCTTACAATAATTATTTTATGACAAAATTCCATGACAAGATTTACGTATGTTTATTCAATTTGTATTGTTTCCCTTTTTCCTGTTATTCTTCATTCTATTGTCAAAAGACATAAATCATATGTTGTGGTTTTAATTTATTGGAATTAAAATTATTTAGAACACTTATTTCATGGTTTCTTACTATAACAAAAAACAATCATCGGTTCGTCGACTTGTGACTAATTTTCTTATCGGAAATGGAGAAACTATTTAGTTTAATGGATTTTTCTTCAATACTACTCATTTATGAATATATTTTAGTAAAAATTAAAGGTAAATCTTACTAATATTATTAATGCAAATGTTTGTTATGTTGTAGCTCCGGAAGGGCTTAACGAATTATGTTGAAATTCGGCACAGCTGTAGAACATAGTCTGGCAGAACACTTAGTAAGTACTAAGTTTTGTGTTTAATTCCCAGCGGACGGAATGGCGGGCAATAGCTAGTATTACATATGTAGAAAAGTACTATTAATTTACTATGAACGCGTTATTAAACTCATCATAAGGTGAGTAAAGGCAAATTCTACAGGTCCATATAAGTAAGACATGTCTCACGTCGCGTCGGCGTCGGCGTCTAGAAATTTTAATGACTTGTGCATTGTTTGGGCTTATTTGGCACCGCCTTTGATAACATAACTGTCCTCTCAATATGGATCTCGTTATTTTGAATTTATAGCTATTGTTTGTTCGAATGCAATTAAATTAGAATACGACGCTGTTAATGATTTTGTACTTATTGAATACAAGGTGTAGCCCGCGACTCCGTCCGCGCGGCATTAAAAAAAACTTAATTAGTAGTCTATGTGTTAATTTCAGAAAAATCCTTGCATGGTTGCAGATTTTGGAGATATCTCCCAACGAACATCCATCCATCCATGCAAGCATACGCATTTATAATATTAGTAATCATTAATTACATATGTTTTATTGTGTACCAGTGAGAAAGTATCTCGTAAGTTAACTTATGAACTTACAATGTCATGAACTTGTAAATTAAGACGTTATCATTTTATCATACAAACTGAACCTTAACTAAAGTATGTACCTGCGCCTGACATTGGTTAATTTAGGCAGCCGGCAGTTCTCTACAGTACCAGGCCTACAGTCGGACGCATAGATAATTCCAGCCTTGACATTTCATTAAGCAACAACATCAAATAAAATTTACCGTTTCTGTTCAATTGGCAATAATAAAGTTTACATGAGTTGATTAACCAATGTCAGTTTTATTTAAATGCGAGTATTTTTTTTAACTAAAAATTTTGCAAAATACTATAACTAGCTGTCGCCCGCGACTCTATCCGAGAGAATTTAAAACAAACTTAAGTGAGAGTCTTCGTGTTCTTCTAGAATATGTTCTAAATCTATGCCAAGTTTCAGCGAGATCTATGCAGCCTTTTTAGAGATATCTCAAAACAAAAATTCCCATTTATATTATTAGTAAGATTTCGAATTTATGTGGCTATTTGCAAGTACCCTTATTTTGCGACAAATTATAACGATTATTCCATAATTTCCGTATTTTAATACTAAAACATAATGCGTTTTAAATACGTGCATCAAGTGATTGGGCATATATTAGTGCATGCAACTTTTAAAATGTTTCTACGATATTGTTATTACTCTAAATGTTCATTATCGCATAACTAAAACTAATTTGCAATTAAGTTGATATTTTACGCCTTAGAAATGCCATATAACTATCAAATGAGCAATATACTTGGGTACAAAAACTGTATAAGATGTATCAAGTCAAAGCATATTCCTTATGAATAATACAGTTACTAAGCACAGTTAAAGCAATACTAGTATCTAAATATTGTTAATAGAAAGTTGTTTTTAATTGATAGTAAGTTGTCTTGACAATTTATTAACGTCGCCAATTAAGTTTATGTCGCTAAGTTGAAAACGGATCTTGGTAAGTAATATTGATAGTGGAACTTTTCATTTCCGGGGAGTTAAGTATTGAAAAGATAAATACTTGTTAATTCTTAATAGCATTAAAGTTAAGACTTTAAAACTTTAGATTGCTAAAGTTGACTGCCTTCCTAAATTATGGATCTTTAAGCAAATTTGAATGACTCTCGCTGTTCAAAGCATTTTTATATTTTTGTATTGAACAGGTTTATAGAACGATATTTTTAAATTGAACTCATTAATCGTTTGCTATGTACATTTTACATATATTATTATGTACATAACAGTGTTCTCTTTAATCGTAACGCACAATTACGTATTATTAGGAAGACCGTTACTTTGTTGCCTTTGTTCGGGAAGTTGATGAAACGCGTCACTCATACAATTGTGTGAATTCGACCATTATCGTCCGCTGTCAATAATAAACGTCATTGTCTACGTCAATGTTATTACAGTTCCAATAAACTGAACTTCATCTATAGCTCTTTGTTCGACAAATCAAATACAAAGTTAACTCTACTATATAAACAAGGAAATATATAAGTTTAAATAATTAAAGGAAATAATTTAACTCGCGTCAAATAAGGATTTTATTACGTAAGTACTCTGAAGACGTCACGTGATATGAACGTTATTAGGGTTGAATATTCGAGCTACATATAAGCGACAAGTTCCTGGACTTAGTTGCTTTTTTTGTCACTCTTTCGATCTTAAGCTTGACATGTAAATGGATGTAATTAACCTTTATTTTAATATTATGTTTGTTCATGTTTTTTTGATACACATAACATGTGATGTTTCACTTCCTCTAGCAAGGAGAAGGTCTGTTCCCTAAACATTGGTTAAGGAATAAAATTATAATAGACAGTATAGCTCTTTCCCTCCGGATGAAGTCATATAGATGTCGTATATCAATTCAATTTGTGGTTATTCGTATTACCGTTAAAGGTGAATCAGAGATTAGGTTATGAACCAAATACATACAGGGAAAAAAATAAGCCGGTTCATACGTGTTTTTTTTTGTGACTGAGCAGTCACTGTTTGCCTTGATGAGGTATTTACAGCTTCACCGGGCTTGAGGTGGCCGAGCGCAAATGGCGCTTAGCCTGAACCTCGTTTAAGAGTAAAAAGACTCGAGGGCTCCCTCAGGAGCCTCGGCTATGACTGTTACTTCGTTATAGTTACCGGATTGGATTCATACGTATATTGATTGAACCAAGTCGCATTTTTGAATAAAGTTTATATTAAATCGTGTTATATCTTGCTTCCTGATATGAACAGGTCTAAATATGGACTATTAAGATAAATTGTGACAAGCCTTGGAATAGATAAAAGTTATAGGGAGGTAATATTTATGTATAAGTAGACAGAAATAGAAGACAATGATAGAAGTATAATTTTGCAATGGGTTTAAAAAAAAATTAGAGATTTCTAGATCCTGAAAAGAAGATGTAGAGAACATATTAACTTTTTAAACTGTTAGTCGTAATAACTGTTTGAAAGGTTATATTCTGAATGCTTAGGTTACCATATCTTTCAATCATTTGGTACAACGGATAATGATCGACGTCGGCCGTTAATCCATACTCTTTGTCTACAAAAAAAACCACTCAGTAAGAAGATAAGGTCAAGTATTTGTCGGCGAGCAACGACCTCTACAGGACGCATTCGAATACTTTCAAGCTGACGTTTACTCCGCCAAGCAACTGTAGTTTTATTTAGTCTTGCGGACCTGTATAAATAATCCGACCTTGTGGTCCATTTCTCTACTGAATACAAACGAACTTATTGTTTGTTTATATTATTTTTATTGAAACAGCTGCATTCGTGTTCTTTATTTAGAGATCGTATCCTTTATTTAATACTAGATGTCACCCGCAACTCTGTCCGCGCGGAATATCTACATCTATGCAAATTCAATGAGATCCATGCAGCGGCTCTGGAGATACTTTCAAACAAACAACCATCAATCCATCCATCCAAACATTCGCATTTATAATATTAGTAAGATTTTGTATTTCGACATTGTGAATAATGAGAATATTAGGCGTTTTCTGGTCATTGGTTTCAACATTTTTAATTAAACCACATTATTATATTTATAGTCGTGACTTGGTATGTTTTTAAAATAACGAGAACAATAGGGAGGTATTAAAATGATTAATGAGTTTAATTTATCGCATATTATAAATCAATTAAGCTCGAAGTGACCGCGGCATCACGTCATCCCTCACTGATAAGCTCTCTATTGTAACGCGATATAACTTAGCTCCCGATATACTAATATATTATTAATTATTTGATTTATAACTAAATCCGTATTACTTAACAAATTAGACTCAATTATATTCAATTCTAACTGAAGTAATGGACATTGACTGAGCCAAATAACACCAAATAAAGTTCCATGTTGCTTTTAATTTATGATTTACAAATTAATCAAATCGCTGTCTTTGTATTAATTTTTTTTTCCAAATCTGTTTTTTATATTTTAAATTTTTTTGGTCTGTAGGAAACCTTAATGAATATTAGTATTAGCCAAGAGGCATGACTTTCTATAGAAAGTATTCATTTGCATAGCTGTATAGTTCGAGGATATATCACTGAGACGCGACGTGGGCGTCGCTCTCAATAAGATTGATTTGTTCGCTGGATTTTATAATGAATGAAGCATAATTTAAATTCTGAATTATATATTACGAGACAATTGTATTGAAATTGATTCATTAAGCGTAGGATTTCATTTAATTCAACTAAAATATGTAGACAAAGGATGGGAGTTTATAACGAAGCTAAAATCCACGACGCAATGATGATGTGACAGTTTCACGTATAAATTTTACGCGTATTTTTATTATTAAAACACATAAATATAATTATAAGATCTGTGTATTATTTCAATTAGTAAATTTATTGTTTTTTTTATTACTTTAATAAGTTTTAAGTACCGTTTATAAAGTAAGATTGTTTGTCAAGCAAGTTCTTAGTGTGAAGATGAGTCACTTGGCAATTATTTGTCCGGACACATACTATGTCATACAGAATAGATACTGGTGTTAGGCATCTTATTGACTTTATAATTAACATATTGTGTTTGTGTTTTCTTTTACTATATTCTTTTAAAATTCTTTTTTACTTGTTTTTAGTTGTAATTAATCTTATTAATGCGACCGTTTAGATGGATGGATGGATGTTTGTTACAATGTATCTTCAGAACAGCTGCAAGAATCTCGTTGACATTTGACATAGATGACATAGCTTAGAAGAAAATATAGGCTATTAATTAACTTCTTTTTTTAATTGGGCGCGGACGTACCGCGGGCGACAACTAGTCTTTTATATTATATATTATGAGAAGATTATATTTTACGCTTTATTAACTTCTTGTTTTATTTAAAACAAAAACTAAATTACAGTTGATGTTTTTTTTTTATATAAATCACGTAACTTGAGTTCAGTGGCATCAAGGGATCAATTGCTGGTAATATTCCAAAACAATAGTCACGTACGATTCTGTTATAATTTCATAACCGGACATATACGGTGTGTGACATCAGTGGCCCAATGTTGTTATCACAATATCCGACTAGCCAAAACATCGTGTCAAATAGAAATGATGGACATGTCACCGTTAGTTTGTGAAATTAGTTTTTTAAGTGAATTGGCTAAAAAATTGATATTTTTCTTTTTTATGTACATCTATCATGTTCAACATAACTAGCCTTACGTAAATGAACTCTTGTAGTAAATAAACGTTCAGTGACATTATATTTAACGTATATACTATATACTCTAACAGGTTTTTTTTTATTTACGAGATTATTTTAATTCGCAAATTAATATTTTCATAACTTGTTTAAATTATGATAGGTATTACTACTACTACGACTATTACGACGACTATTTAGTCTTAAATTACATACATTAACGTTCATTAAAATATCTCTAGTAAAAAATATTCTTTTATACTTAAGAGCATTATGTATGTAGCGGGTAAGACTGATGCAAGTCACGTAGTCCAACTGCAAACTGGCAGTAAACAGTGAACGGTGCCGCGGTTTCGTTATAAATCGACCGCAATAACACTACACCCTTCCGTCCTTGCCTTCGCTTTTTATCACCACGTATGCACTTTGGACGGTTTAAATATCATGTTTTTCATTCACATATAGGTCAATTATCTTATTTGAAAAGTTAGTATAATAAAGTAACATATATTTGATTTTATATGTAAGAAGACACAGGTTTAACCAGACAAACTATTTTTTTTTAAATGTAAACGTCATTATTTAGAACCTTTGTGTCTACAACAGAGATGGATGTACAGATACAAAATAGTTAACTACAATTCTTATTCCCATCTAAAAATAAAAGTAAATAAAAACATTATGGTCGATATTAATATAAATGCGATATCATTTACCATTGCTATTTAGCACCTGATGTTTTGCAGTCTGTGTGAATGCAGACCTCTCACCTGTTTACTAACTTTACGACGCTCTAGTGAATTGCTACTATATTACCTACGGTTTTACTATGAACAAACTGGTTTAGATAAAGCTATTTAAAATGTAAGAATATACATTTCAGAGATCTCATTTAGAATAGCTTTTGGATCAATACATCGAACTATTTCGTTTCTTTACCTACAAAATCTTACTGTCATTTGACTTTGATTTATTATTTCTAATTAAAAACCCGCATTAGGCCAGCGTGGTTTACTATGGCCTAGTCACTCCTAACTTAGGGTAGGCTCCGAGCCCCTCGGTGGGGACGTATAGTGAGCTGATGACGCATTAAAAACCCTAATTACTTCATCTTTAGAGAGGGAAATAATGAAGCTAGTCTTAAGTCTTATTACAAGGGGTAATGACATTTTAAATTGATACGAACTCTATTAAACACTCCAAGAATTAATAAAAATTAGATTACCATTCAACCTCACTTTTTTAAATCAGTCTGTTTAAGCTACAAAAGGTGACAACAAGAGACATATATTTCAATAATAAATATAACAACATACCTGACTAGTTTTTGCCGTATGTAGGGTTGTTATAATATGACGTGGGAGGTATGTAAAGTGGGTTAGAGCCGACGCAGTCTTCAGCTCCGATGTTCTGGTACTGGGTGTCAGCGAGGGGTAATGCAGGTGGCCGACTCCTCCAGATCATGTAACCGGCAGTCGCCGCTGCTGCAGCCGCCACCAGCAACACGGTCAGTACCACAGGAATCGTCACTGTTGATACGTAATATATATAAGATAAACATATAGTTTGACTTGTGATAAGTTTGACTTTCTGTTCTTGACAGCTTAAATAGGGAAATTATATGCGTTATTTGCTTTACTTACCGTGGGTTTATGAGATCAAAATGTCCGTTAAAAACCTAAATATTAATTCTGTTTTGTCAAAGATAATTAGAGGATTGACGATATGTTTTATACAGAGATTTTAGTGTCAGAAACCCACTGTAAATATTTCAGGAACGTTCAATGCTTGTTAATCAGTTCTCGCATCTATTCCCTTAAAAAATATTTTATTTGTCAATTTATAAAAAACGTAATCAAGTAAGTGGATTGGAATAAACAAATCGTTGCGTGTAACAATACGTTTAACCAACAAATACAATAGATACTAGTCTACGCTGTCAAACAAAGTGGTTGAATGCATACGACCATATTACGCGGTCGGGACAATACGACAACTTATCTATTACAAGGCGAAGTATCCGTCCCTCCCCGCGTATTGACCGACCAGGATAATGATATATTGTTACTCACGAGCTCGGAAACGGACACCAAATACATTAACAAACTTGTTTTGTTGAATAACAAACAAGATAATTAGAGTATCATAACACAAGTTAGAGAGAGATAGAGTATTTCTTTAGGGTCGATAAGGATAAGCAACGTGACAAAATCCATCTGTTTTCTTTATTTACAGAATGCGTCGACAGCGTTATAAGTTGCACCTGTTTAAATTTGAATACGTATATGTTTGGTGAACGAATATTATTAAAAACGATAAAGCCTTTTGATAGGTTATAAGTTACGAGAAACCTTGATAATCTGATAGGGGCCATATATTTCTCTTTATGTATTTATAGAAATGTAAAATTTCTTACCGTTGGTACCACCCGCAACAGCAGCTTCGTTGGTCACGTCACACAACTTGATCACCATAACAAATACGTCGCCATTATCGTCTTTCTTAGCGACATATTCTATGGGGCAGTTGTCAACTGTTCCGTTGCAAGTTATCCAGATGTTTCTGTTCTGGCTATCCTTTTCCTTCACCAGCGTTTCATTGTACCTCATCTTGATGAGAGGGAAATGGCAGTCGGGGCAGTTTCCATTCTCTGGGTTGCTAAGACATTCGTCGCAATCGTTTGTGGTCATGCAAATATCGGCGCAATAGTTTTCTTTGTCGAAGTATTTGGAGCCAGGTCGGTCGGTGTAGCATTCGCAAACTTCGCAAGGGCCGCAGACTCCGTTCCCTGAGCATTCCACCTGGGAATTAAGTATTAGAACAATCGATAGATTCGAGAATATTTGAAGATCTGTTTGTAATTTCTGCGTTGTGTCTTTTAATGAAGCTTCAGAGTCTAGCATATTTTCGAATATTTGTGTAAACATAAATTATTATTCAATTTTTTGTTTCAATGATATTAAAACTTTCGAGCAAAATATGAACATTAGTAGGATCAAGTTTCAACTAAAATACTGGTTATACGTACTGGACTGTTTTATTTATCAGGAAATATCAATTACATAAGGACATGCCTGTATATAACGGAAGTAAATTTTTGTATAATTGGCTTATGTATTTTGTGCTGAGATATAATTATTTAAAACAATTTTTGTTTTATATCAGAAGGTAGCAAACGAGCGAGCGGCCATTTGAAATCGCTGAAATAGCGAAGTGACCGTTGCCCATAGACATACGCAATTGCATATGCGTTGCCTATCTTTAATCGACGGAGGAGAGGAATGAAAGATAATAAGTTTGTTTTATAAACCTAAGTCGTTATATGATTATCGTTTTTACTAGCAAATAATAGAAATAACAAAATATTACTTACATCGTTTTTAACAGGATTGGTACACTGGAGGTCGCCGCGAATGCCTTGACATTCTTTCTTTTCACAGAATTTGCCAGACCTGTAGTAATAAATAATTTAAAAAATATAATAAAACTAGCTATCGTCCACGACTCCGTCTGCGCTAATGAAACAACCTAATTCGTAGCTTATGTGTTCTACTATCCCACATTTCAGCGAGATCCTCGCAGTTGTTCTGGAGAGAGATTTTTCAATGAAATAAATGTTACTAACGCTTTTACATGTCATTAAAATGATTGATGTTAATTATAATCGCGTCGATTCAAATCATTTAACCGAATATCAATTGTCTTTAATCTATTTATGTCATCTTTAGAACGTTTGCGATTAGTACTGTTAACTATAACTGGACTTCCTTGCGACATTGCTAATAGAGTTAACGTTTCTGCGACCATAAAGTTCACCATACCATACGTTTTTAAGGTAGACCATAAGGTTCTGCGGAAAACGGAACGTTTTTACGAATAGTTTGAATATTGCCTTTAAAAAGTCATAATCTTAATTTGGTGCCATACTAAATAATGTTCAAAATAATGAGATTTTTTAGTTCTCTAAATGAAAATACCAAGGGTTAGTGTTCTGTTGCTCAAAAAGTTCAAAACTGCGCTGTTACTATGACCCTATATAGCAAGTTGTATTTGCATAGTAAATATTATTTACATGATGTTGTTTTTAATCAATGCCAAGAATATTAATGGTTATATTAGCATGAAGATTGAATACGATAATAAAATCACGCTGTATAGTACGCAAAACGTAAATACTGTTGGTTACAATCCATAGATATTTGCATCTTACTTGGTATTTAGCCATAATAAACATACTTATGCTTTAGTAAGCTTAAAATTGAAGTAACATTGAATTACATAATTATGACTGTCTTATAATATAGAATACTTGTCAAATTATTGATTTTTGAAATCAATAAAATCACAAATATGGGTCAAGGTGACGTTTAAATGGAAATAAAATTTAAAGATGTCTGAGTAACATTAACGGCGGTTTTAATCATTGTGACACGTGTAATGAGCAGTATTTCAATGAGCCGACCATTAGCATGAAAGTAGGCCTCTCAAACTCCATAATTAACTTGGCAGAGATGAGTCGAACAAAGCGCGTTTTGTTGATGAGTGTAATTGAGTTGTGTGTAGCTTGCCGCCCTGGATTTATCAGGATAAGCTTATACGCTCTTGTTCATGACCAGACCCACGTGAATGAGTTACTTAGATTTATTTGTAATTCGTAGCTAGAACTATTAATTTTCAACTAATAATAATTTTAACGATTTAAATACCACTCCCTAAAATCACTGCTGTTATTATTGCCCAAAAGCGTAAATTTTTTTAGTCGTGATAACGTTTACGTCTAGTACCAAGTTTAGATAGAAAGGTTGTATAAATAGAAACAAACTAGGACGTACCATCCACTTGGACAAGAGCAGACGCCGCATGCATAAGTGCCTCTGTTGCTGCATTTCCTTGAAAATACTTCTGCACGTTCACTGCACTGGCAGGCACAAGGCACGTGGTACTGAATCACTTCTTTATCAGCTCCAATATTTATCTCAACGAACACTTCTTCTAATGTTTTACTCTTTGCTGAACAAAACTGGTCTCCAGGTGAAGCTTCAATGTACCAGTTATTATTCTTCCCAACATATTCTTTCGGTGTTACAAAGAATTCTTTGTTCTGTGTTGTGTTCACAATTTTCGGCTGATGAATAATAATATAATTAAAATTGTGTCACGTAAAGCGTTACATTGTTTTGTTTTAATTAAGTAATGTTTGTTGTTAACATAATTATTTGGACAGTGTCGTTTATAATAATGTTATTAATTATTAAGCAATACTAATATAAAATATAGCGAAACTATAATACTTTATAATGTAACGTCTTACTTTTCAAACAATTATACAACACTGGTATATTGAAATCGAGTAACAATTTTTATTATTTTATTCATAATGAATCGTTCGTTTTAATCAAGTGTATTCAATTAGGCTATTATCAATTTATTCTACAAAAAAATGGCTGTAAAGTCGTTATGTTAAACTGTTTTTTAACATTGATTTTAAAAGTTAATTAATATTTTGTGTAATTTTTTATGATAAATTAATATGTTAATTACCTCTGGTTTAATTTTTTTATAATTGATAACGTTAGACACTCCTACTCTGACGGTCCTCTCCCTGTATGTGGGCTTGTCGGTGCCTCCGGGCTCCGTGCGCTCTCTCACCACTAGCAACTCCTCTTTTTGGTTCGGACACCAATCGTCATTTAGGGTTTCGACGCAATGAGTATTCTGTAATAGAAGAAATTACGTTACAAATATTTTAGTTGATATATTCAATGGTAGCCAGGCGGCAGCGGTATGGTACATAAAAGTAGAATATTCAATCTTTAGTAAGAATCTTTTAACTTAGAATTACAGCTAACTTAAGTAAGTCTTAAGCCAAGATATAGCATAGACTAAAAAATAATGCTTTAGTGTTTTTCTTGGAACTCGAAGTTTGTTACCTTTACATACATTTAGAAAATAAGTAATGCTTATTTATACTCATAGAACAATTCTAAGTTTGTACATTAAAGTGACTTGATAACTGATTTATCGTGGGTTTCTGAAAAGAAAATCCCAGCATAAGATATAGTTATTTCTGTTCTGTCTAAAATAATAAGAGGGAATACGATATATTTTGTACAGAGGACAGTTTCAGAAACCAGCTATTAGTAACGTATAAAGTTAAATATCTACTTTATAGTGTCTTTATATGTCCAGAGAGCTAGTGACATGTGTTAGTACCATGAAAGAATGTCTTAGAAATCAGAGTGGATATCTGTTTATGGTATGTCGCCTCGTTCTGGTTCTTGACATATAATTACATGTATTAAAAGCGTTGAAGAATAAAACTAGAAAATTAATGACTATAAAGAATTATTGAATAATATTATTGCTTATAATATAAATCGCTAAACCGGTCATACAGGAAAATAAGATTTGTATAATTTTTTACTATGTTATTTGGCTAAAGGATTTTAATGTCATTTTATAAATGTATGTTGTAAAAGTTGTGCTAGTTCAAAATCAATTTTAGTGATTGTTTCATTAAAGACATAAAGTACTTATAACCCTGTTTCTTTATAATCCTTAAGTCCTCCTTCCCTCTAATCTGTTGTTTATCCTATTCACGTTACTAAAAGGTATAAAAGGTACTTGTTATAAATTGATTCGGTATATTATATAAGATTTAAAACGATTTAATTAGCGCATGCAAAGTTGTGCGTAATAAGTGAGTACAACCGTGTTATTATCTTGCGTACGCTGTTTATTCTAATCTCTTGGAAGTAATCGTTGGTGGCGCCCCGGGCGAGACGCACACTAATGCTATATTCACACCAGGGTAGAAGCAGGTAGAGCAGTACACATTGCAGTATTGTTTGAACCGTGAATTACACATGGATGCGAGACATTGTGTATGAACACTATTGCCATCTCTCTTTTTTTAAAGAGAGCGAGAGGATAAGATGTTACAAAGGTATGTTAGGTGACAGCTATCGTCACTCTTACGCCAATATAGAATAATATTGATTTCATAGTATGTATTTAAGCAATAGCAATGCTGCACTGTCAATTGTTCTGTATCTCGTCCTAGTGTGAAAGAGGCATAATGTCTATGTTACTCGTATGCACGGTCAATGCAAACTGCATCCATTCTATACGATACCTAAGTCTACAATCGTGCGAATCTTCAAACGAGATAACCTCAATTATATTCATCACAAATACTTCGAATGTTTTATGTCATAGATATGATAATTATGTTAAAACAATATTATATGTAAATAAAAGAACAAAAATAGAATTGTACGCTATGGAAATCATGCAAGAAGGTTTATTATCGGGAATAGGAAAATTATAAAAGTAATCGTTCAGAAATATTACTAAACGAATATTTCAAAAGGCCATTAAAGGATGAAGTTATAGAAAATGTCGTCATACCATAGGTTTCTGACACCAAAATCTCTATATAAAATATATCGTCAACCTCGTCTTTCATCTTTGATAAAACAGAGATAACGATATGCTTTAAACGGGAATTTTAGTTTCAGAAACCCACGGTTAGTCATATACATCATATTAGTATGTGATCCACGTTACTATTAATCATACAAGAAAATCCTTTGGATTTAGTTCTTACTTTAGAGTTTACGATTTGTTTTGTACAAGTAAATTACTCATATAGTACGTCATTAATTGTTTTCCTCAAGTGAAGAATACCATCAAAGAGGTCACTTCAATGCCTTCAAAATATTTTACAATGTTACGTAAGTCAGGGATCCATGCTGGGGCCATTGTTTTCACGTTGTAGATATGATTGTTAATACATTAAAAAGGCAGTCTACCTTTGCTTCATACAAATTGTCGGTATTCGGCTTTAAAATCTTTGATGAAACCTACAATTCAAATACATAACTAACAAAATAATAATCCATTGTTATTTGGGATAACAAACTGAAGTTTATGTCATTTGAAAATGTTTATATAGCTATGAATAAAAACATATGTGCCAATGTCAATGTCTCATGATTAAGTCACTTAGTATTCATTAAGAACAATACTCTCTTTCTACATTCCGTATTCTAGACCATTACAAGGGCGGATTGTATAAATAAAGCTGGATAATTAAATAAATATTGTCACAGATAAAATACTGGCCAGTACGACTGGTTCAAGGTATTTGTCTCGTAAAAAAAGTAGAGAACACATCGAACTGGCCATCAATACGTTTAAGAGGTCATTGAACTGTTATTTTTTTGATTTATCATACGATCGCAACGGCATTGGAAAAAAGCTTTTATGTTTTATTTGATTTGATATTATATTTATACTTGAGTTTGTATACTCCGCTTGGAAATTTTATTTCGCGTGCTATGTTTTAGTGTTCATTTTGTAGCCACCAAATCTCTTGTAACTCTCGATTTATCTATGATATTTTGTATTTGGTTTCCATACATAGTTAACGACAAATATCACAAAAATTATTGTTTTGGGAAACATTTTAAGTTTGAATAAATTCATTTTACTTTGTGGAAGGAATTATCAATGTATAGTTGTATATATTTTTGGCAGATAGGAGAACAAAATGGCATTGAGTGGCATCGTAATAGAAATAGACCGTGTTGCCGTGTTAAGAATCGCGTGAATGCGTGATTGGTAATTTGTCCGCGTGTCGCGTTAGTCACTAATGTGCATCTCGGCGACCGAGGCGTGTGAGCCGTACAAGGATAATGACAATGATTCAATGACCAACAAAGCGAACGCAAAGCTTGAATTCACGGCCGGCAATTGCATAAAGAGAAAGAGAAACTTCTTTATACCTCTACAGATTCAAATAGATTAAATTATCTTACTTAAATGTTTTTACTTCTTTCCGTTTCCTTAAAGATTATTTTTTATCACATTTTACTAGTTTTCTACGTAATATAAGATTACGAATATTAAAAGTGAAGATTTCAGTATGTGTTTATTAGGAAATTAATTGAAAAACGGCCGATTTTAACGCTGCGATTGTAAATTAACCTATAAATTTATTCTGTGTAATAGTTTTATAATGATTAAATATTTATCAAATTGGCATTGGTTATAGTGTTAACACGTCGGTATATTATGGATGAGGCTGTGGGGACCACCTCAGCCAAACCGGTATTCACCCAATTACATTAACCAGAACCGCTTGTTTTATATCCGCATGGCTTTAACACTTGAGAGGTATGTTTTGTTTGTTTTGCAATTTTTGTATGATTCATGTCACGATATAAATGAGAAAAAGTTACAATATTACTAAGACTAATCTTGATGAACAGAAATCGATTTCTATAATTTGCTGTGATAGAGTTTACTGCATAAGGGTAATGCACCGATTAAAAAACGATCACATTTCAAATCCAAGTCATAAAGGGCATTAAACCCTTGACAGAGGTTTGCAATAATAAAACGCGTGGGTTGTCGTAATAATAGCTTAGCTGATTATACTCTCCCAGTGCTGCGTGAACGTTAAGAAATTTTATCGAATCGACAACAAAATTTTCAACCTTTTCTCTCTAACTTAAGGTAAACGATAGAGACAGACGAACGTTACACAAGATTGGGAGAGGCTGGGATGGTGTGTGGGTGGTACGTGGGTAACTGCATAGAAGTCCCCCCATTGCGCCATCTAGTGCCTGTACGTAACCAGTTTTGTAATAAGTAAAAGTGCACTATACTTTTTAATACCTTAAAAGTAAAATATATTAAGTATTTTATTTCTTCAACGCTATTCCATTGTTGTCTTCTGTTTACAACTCCAACAACTATAATGGTCAAATTAGTTTACATCAAAAATGTCTTGCGTCAAATATAATTATAAAATCTATGATGACATTATAATTATACGAACATGGGAAAGTCTGACAGTCGTACACTTTCAGAATAAGTACAAAATAATTGCTCCTTTAAAATAATTCGTAATGTGACTTGTTTATATGAAAATACATAGAAACATAACAGCGACGAACCTTTGTCTTTGGAAAATGAGATCACCCGCATCACGGTAATTCCATACTTTTGAGTCATTGGAGCTTTATTAAATAAATATATTACAACATAATTACTAATTTTATAACACATAAAGTTGTACATCATTTAATGGTTAATGTTTTTTAACAATATTAAATAAAAATTGAGCGGAGCGTCGGTGGCTCAGTGGTCAAGCACTTGACTTGCAATTTGCAGGTCCTGGGTTCACATGTGTGAAGTCAAACAACCCGCACTTGGCCAGTGTGGTTGACTATGGCCTAATCACCCTAAACTTAGGGTAGGCTCCGAGCCCCTCGGTGGGCACGTAGCTGATGATGATGAATTTTGTACATCATTTAATGGTTAATTATTTTTTACAATTTTAAATAAAAATTATGTAAGTAACTAATCATAATCCTACAGATTAGGTAGAAGTATTCTATCTCACCATGGTCACCATTCTACGACATAATTCGCAAATTGTAAACAACAAGGTGTCGCTCGCGACTCCGTCCGCGCGAAGATATAAAAACAAACTTAATTAGTAGCTTAAAAAAGTCCTGGTTGCGCAACATCCGAGAGTGGACAGGGGTTGCGAGAGCCGCCCAACTTTTTCGCCTCGCAAGAGACAAGGGAAAATATGGAGAACTGACCGCCAACCTTCGTTAGTCGGAGAGGCACCTCAAGAAGAAGAAGTAGCTTATGAATTCTTCCAGACTATGTTCTATATCTATGCCAAATTTCAGCGA